TAAGCATTAATTGGCTATGGTCGTTGGGGGAGAATCTTAAAACACAAACCAGAGCAACACGATTCACATCAGATTCAGAGCCCACCCAAAGTTTATGTATACGTCTATATATATGGTTCTTCCGGTTTTTACTAAAGTCGCCTCACTCACTTTGCAGCACTAACATAACATATCACTCCCCTATTGATTTTTACTCTTGTTATTACACGCCATCATTCATCTATGTCGTAGAAGCAACATTTTAAAGAAGTAGTTCAACAATGTCCTTAATTTATTATTCTTGTATGGTCGGATTTGGCTTTCTTCCTTTTCTTTTTGATTCCTCTCTCTCTCTCTCTCTGACTGAACAATCAATCTATAATATATCAATCATTCATCATGATACACCAAGGAGCAGTAATTTAATCACACCAATTAATGGAGCTTAAAATTGCAAACAGATGATGATCAACATACTCAAAACTCGACATGCGCCATTTCCCTTTCATTCTAGACTACACATTAATTATCTATCATCTTGAAATAATAAGCAAATGTTTTGACTAATTTAAAACCATAACATCCCCACTAGAATCAACATCCATTATCACCCTCTGACCTTCACTCACACTCCCATTCAGAAATCTATCTGCCAAGTTATCCTCCAACAGCCTTGCTATGGCCCTCCGCAGTGGCCTTGCTCCATAGCTCGAATTAAATCCTTGGGACAACAGCTTCTCCTTCAATCCATTGCTTACCTCTACATTTATCCTCTTTTTCTCCACCCTCCTGTAAAAATCGAGCAGCATAATCTCCAAAATCTCCCTCATATCCTTTTTCTTCAGCCTCTTAAACACGATTATATCGTCCAGCCTATTCAGCAGTTCTGGCTTGAAAACCTTCTTCAGTTGAGCCACAACTTCCTCCCTCACCTCATCATGATCACCCGTTACTCGCCCACCTATGTTGGACGTGAATATTACGACCGCATGCCTAAAATCAGCCGTTCGCCCCTTGCCGTCCGTCAACCTCCCGTCGTCCAGAATCTGAAGCAGCATGTCATGGGCCCGCGAGTTGGCCTTCTCTATCTCGTCAAACAGAACCACAGTGTGGGGCCTCCTGCGGACGGCCTCCGTGAGCTGTCCCCCTTCGTCGTGGCCCACGTAGCCCGGCGGGGACCCCACGAGCCTGGCCGCCACATGGCTCTCGGCATACTCAGACATGTCCAGCCTCACCATGGCCTCTTTGGATCCAAAGTACTCCTCAGCCAGCATCTTGGCAAGTTCGGTTTTGCCAACGCCCGTGGGGCCCACGAACATAAAGCTGGCAATGGGCTGGTCCATGTCCCTAAGCCCAACCCGCGATCTTCGCAGGGCCCGGCACACGGAAGACACTGCCTCGTCCTGCCCGATCAGCCGTTTCCTGAAAACTTTTTCGAGGCCTAAGAGGCGGTGGGATTCCTC